CCCCCCCCCTGGATTGGCCTTAGGATGGCAGTCTCAAGAAACAACTAAAAAACGGGGGAACCAGCTGGGGGGTTAGGAGTGGCTTGTCATGGATTTTGGCACCATTGAGTAAGTGGTGGCAGGGACGGTCCCCGTCCTCCCCAATCCCTTGTGGGGAGGCTGAGGGTCAGAGGGCCCAAGGCACCAGGGCCGCCCACCAGAGGGAGGCGGACGCGTACAGGAGGGGCCAGGGACCGGGGTGGGTGGGGCTTCCTGCAGTGTTGTTCAGCTGCATCTCTCCGTACTGGGGGCCGTCGGGGCCCCCCATTCTCATCCCGGCCGCCGCAGCTGCTGCCGCGGCTCCTCCTGCAGCCGCCGCTGCCGCCACACGCAGGGATGTCCCGGAGGAGCGGTAACGGGGGGCAGACTTGGACCTGCGGGAGGTGCCCCGAGCGCTGCCCCGGGCTGACCCACGCGCTCCACCCCGGCCCCCTTTGCAGACCACGGCCTCCACGAAAATGGCCAGCAGGAAGAGGAGTGTCCAACAGAGGGCGGGGCTGCACTTGACCCTCATGGTCTCCAGGGAGGGGCCCCAATCTGCAAAATGAAGAGGAAAGAGGGGTCAGCCCCCGTTGCCCGGATTCCTCCGCTGGTAGAGTTAACCCTAGGAAGCCCAGCGTTCCTCTGGGTAGACCTGGCATGAAGCCTGGGGATGGTGGTTGCTTGGAGACTGGCCTCTCCTGCTCTGCCTCCAGAAACCATCTAGGCTACAGCTATGCAGTTTCCCATCAGCCAAGGATGGACGGGATCGGACTGGGAAGGGGCCCTTGAGGCCTTCTAGCCCACCCACCCCCTGCTCAAGCAGAGGTCCTCGGTCCATCCCAGACCAATGGTCACCCAAAAGCTTCTTCAAAGGCTCCAGGAGCTGCCATATCTTCTCCAGGCAACCCCTTCCCCTGGTTCCTTCTTCCCACTGCCAGGAAATTCCTTCCCCCTAAGCTGCTTCTCTCCTTGGGGAGTTCCCCCCCCCCGTTGCTTCTTGTCCTGCCTTGGGGGGGGGGCTTTGTAGAATAAGTGGACCCCTCCTCTCCTTTGCGCAGCCCCTCAGATACTGGGAGGCTGCCCTCCTCTCCTCCTCTCCATTCAAGACTGGCCTGACCCAACTCCAACCACCGTCCTGGGCTGGGGTGTGTTTTAGCCCCCCAAATCCTCTCTGCTGCTGCTCTTCCCCCTCCGGGGTTCCTGCCTCTCTCCTTCCCCTCTCCTGGGGAGCAGAAGTGGAGGCAGAATCTCTTCCCACCAGCCCTGCCCAGGGCCTGCCAACCGACCTGGCTGCCCTCGGGCTGCAGGGAGCTTTGCCTGCCTGCTGAGCTCTAACACGGGATGGGGGGTTTCTATGCAACCTAAATATGGAGGCTTCCTCGTGTAGGGCTTGCCGTGAAGGGGGAGCCCATCTCCGGGCAGCCGATTGCAAAGAATGGAGGCAGCAGGCAGAGACCCCCGACTCCTTTTACAAGGCTCCGCCCCCAACGCCCATTTCGCCCCAGGGGCTGATTGATCCTAGGGATGCCCCCCCCGCCCCCCGAGAACCAGGGCGGGGGGGGGTCTTCGGGAGAGTCTCCCCCTTCGCCTTCCCTGAAGCAGCTGCGGCTCCCAAATCAGCCCCCGACTGGTTGCCCCTTCCCCCCCCCACCCAGGGCTCTGCTACCCGGAGGGCGGCTGCGGAGAGGGAGCCCCCGCCCCGCGCCCGGAACCGGCATTTCCTTCCATCGCCCGCAGGGGGGACAGACGACCCCCCTCCTCCCTCCCTCGCGATGGCTCCCCCCTCCCTGAGCCGCGCTGGGGGGGGGGGCGAGGATGTCTACCCGACGGCTCCGGCGCTCGCTCTCGGTTGCTCCGGGCTTTGCCTGCCGCTGCTCCGCGCTCGCTCGCCCGCCCGGGGCTCCAGCAGCCGCTCCGACAGCCGCGCAGCCCTCCTGCGCGGCTCCGGCTCTTCGTCNTCGGATGTCCTTCCTTCCTTCCTTCCTTCCTTCCCTCCTTCCTTCCTTCCTTCCCACCCCATTTCCCTGCCCCTCTCATCCATTTCAGAGGCTAGGAGAAAATGGAGGGAACACCCCCCCCCCTGTCAGTCCCAAAAAGAGGGAAAGAGGGGAAACATGACTTGGGATGGGATTTCATTGCCAGATAATCTACAAGATCATAGACCTGGGATACGCCAAGGATCTGGATCAAGGGAGCTTATGCACCTCTTTCGTGGGGACCCTGCAGTACTTGGTAAGGCCTGAACCCCCATGGCGGTGGGCCCCGGTCCTAACTCTGGAGGGAGGGAAGGGGGGGGGGCTGAAGGTGGATTTTTACCCCGATTTCTGCTCTTTTGTTTAAGGCCCCTGAACTCTTTGATAACAACTCTTACACCATGACGGTGGATTTCTGGAGCCTGGGGACGGTCGTCTTCGAGTGCATCACGGGGTTCAGGCCCTTCCTGCACAACCAGCAGCCCTTCAGCTGGTAGGCCCCTCTGGCTCGGGGGGCAACGGGGTGCGCCTCGCCTTTGCCAAAGGGCCGGCTGTGTGTCTCTGCGTACAGAGGGACACCAAGGCAGCCCCGCTCTCTCTCTCAAGGCCCAGCTGGGAAGGAGTCTCCGTTCCCTCACAAAATGTTCTCCATCAGCTGGAGCTCCAGGAAGAGCCGTTTTAGGGGACTCTCGTGCCAAGATACGTGGCACACGGTGAGCCCTGCTCACTGGGGAGGAATTCCTCTGAGTTCACCATGGAGCTCCAGTCCCAATTGGGCCACTGGGAGAGGCACATGTGAAAATACCAGTAAGACGGCCACAATTGCCCAACGGATTCCCCGGCCTTGTTTAGGTCCATCATCTCTGCTTTTTTGTGGGTGATGGTGATGCCTTCAAGTCCATCTTGGCTGCTGGTAACCGCGTTGACCAGTCCCTGCAATTTGGCATTAGGGAGTTGGACCCAAGATGATTCTGAATTTTATTTCTGGCTCCTGGAATATTCTCTACCCTGTTCGATTGTGTGTCATTTGCCAACCTGATATATTGTTCCTCACCCATGCCACGAATGACGTTAAAAATAACACTGGTCGTCTCTGTCCACTGGACACCTCCTTCCAGAAGCTTCCATGAGCTTTTTCCCCTTGGGAACAGATGCACCTGCTAGATAGATGAATCTTCTAGCCCACATTTAAATGCACGCTTGTTCTGAAGAGCCTTTGTAGACACACCCATTTTAATGCAGTTGGCAGCAGGTGGGGGCAAGCATCCCTCTTTTGGGGAGGGGGAAGGAATCACAAGCATTTTGATAGGTCCCAAAGGGTCTCCTGAAGGTCACCCATCCTGCTATGGGCGTCATGGATTCCAAGAGACCAACTGTGTGTGTGTTTTTTGTTCTCTTTTCCTGCAGGCATGAGAAGATCAAGAAGAAAGACCCCAAGTGCATTTTTGCCTGGGAAGAGATGACGGGGGAAGTTAGATTTAGTGCTTATTTGCCAACTCCAAACAGCTTGTGCAGGTAAGATTCATTCTATCGTTTCTCCTTCATTGGTAGAATTCCTTCCTGCACTAAACCTCCCTTCCTTCCTTCCTCCCTCCCTCCCTCCCTCCCTCCCTC